TTTTTTTCTTATGAAATGATAAAGCAACCCTTTTCTCTATGTATGAGGTAAATTTTTTTTATTGGAGTTAAAATTAACGTAGATATATGACCGAACCTAACCAACCCTACCTAACCTAACCTAACCTATATTTATAGGTAAGGTTAGGTTAGGTAGCCAAAAAAAGCTAGGTTAGGTTAGGTTAGGTAGGTTAGGTAGACGAAAAAAAACATTAATTCATGAAAACTTGGCTTATTAGGCAAATCAGGCCTTGAATAGTAGGCTGAGAAGTGCGTTCTGGCTATTAGGTACGACATATATATATATATATATATATATATATATATATATATATATATATATATATATATATTTTACAACAGGACTGCCCTAATTACTATGCACCTGTGACACTATCACAGATTCACTGAAAATATGCAGACAATTACGAGAATTTTTGGGCTGTTGCAAATTCATTAGCCAGGTCGTGCTTCGTCATGATTTTAACATTGCAAATATACCCACACTGCAACTGACTGCAGACATTTGACAGCGTCGTTGACAACAAGCATTGCAGACTCTCATCAACATCTATCAACAATTAATTATATCCCATCAAATAGGTAATTAAGTGTTTGGGTGCTATAGAGATTAAGTGCAGTAATTACCACACTTAAAAATGTTGTTTATAAAACTTAAAAAAAAATATATATTATTTTTGCTGTTGCCTATTCTGGACGTTCCATCGTATCAACCGCTTACTATAGACTATATGATCCTGGGTTGCTCTATCGATTATATAGGAGTCATAGGATAATAGACTCAGCAACCTGTTGATAGACAGTTGCGAGTCGGACAATAGAACTGAAACACTCCACCTGGAAGCGCAACTAGGCGACTACAACTAGGTAAGTACCCTACACCTGTGTACGAGACATGAGGTAACCTTGCTACACCCCCCCCACACCCCCAACACCCCCTAACGACACCTCGTAACACTTGTGCTCGTAGCTAGGGCCGTACAAAGTGACAAATGTGTCACGCTTGACTCTACAAGGCGCCTGCGAGAGATAAGAGAGAGTCTTGAATGACAATGGAACACTTAAGGCAAGGAGCAACACTTACGACCTCCCAGAGGGGGAGCAGAGACGTAGCTAAGGACATCGTAAGAGTTTTACCAGGCTTATCTCGTTATCTGTCCTTATCTCCGGCAACACAGAGGACGCAGACCTGGGACGCAAATTCAGGACGCATTTTATTTAATGACGCAGTCACCGGCTGTCAGCCGGTGGCTGACTGGACAGTATGCTGGACGCGTGATCCTGTGGTCCCGGGTTCGATTCCCGTCGCCGGCGAGAAACAATGGGCAGAGTTTCTTTCACCCTGATGCCCCTGTTACCTAGCAATAAATAGGTACCTGGGAGTTAGTCAGCTGTCGCGGGCTGCTTCCTGGCGTGTGTATGGCGTGGGAAAAAATTTAGTAGTTAGTAACATTTGATTGACAGCTGAGAGGCGGACCGAAAGAGCAGAGCTCAACCCCCGCGCAAGCTCAACTAGTTGAATACAACCAGGTGAGCACCAGCAACACCCAAACAATAGACTAGGATGGTGTTAATAAGAGAGGATGCATAGCAGAAGCACTTCCCACCAAACACATAATTTTGTCCTTTAATTTGCAACACATCCAGTTTATCAGTTTATCTCTTCACCCTTGGCTTCAACAACAGCCAAGAGACAAAAGATTACCAATGAAAATGCAGAACCAGCTTATCCTGTCCTCTCGACAGGGTAAACCATCTCTCCTAACAACTCCCTAATGAGCTTAACATATTGGGCACCGTATTGTTAGTTTGTATCCTGTTCTTTCCCCCTTCACCAGTCAGTAGAGATGAGACCATGTTGCTTACTCTAGCAGAGCTGAATGAGGGGAGTCGGAGCAACGGGGTGACACCTAGGCAGCGTTGGGTGACACACCTAGAGTGCCAGGTGACACCCACGTCGTCGTAGGCACTCGGCCTCCCCCGACGCGCCAATTTAGACTGCTACAACATGCAAATGATTCAGGAAGTAGGCCTAGGCCTAGGAAGTAGGCCTAGAGACGCTGCCTCGATAAAGGCCTATATCCCCCCCCACTAACATCAACGATGTTCATAAATGCATCAATAAATGATTGTAGTGTGAATGAAAGTGTGACAATTAGCGAGTTAGCGTTGCAATGTTCCTTTGTTGTGTGACCTTTGTGCAATGTTGCAACGTTGGAACTGTGCAACGGTAATGGAGCAATATAACCATTATATTGGTGACTAATGCTGTCGCATTATAACTACTGTTGCATGGTAATTAGTACGCTGGTGTGGTTACGAGATTAGGCTCGCTGGTGGAGCATTGACACCCCTGGCGACCCACAATGCAGGCTAAGGAGAACGAGCCCCCGGGGTCTATTGCTTCAAGGGTCATTGCAGAAGCTTGCAAAGTCCTTTGCCGGCCTGGGTTGCTATGCAGGGGAAACCTCGCTCCAAACACTGAAGAAATGCATGAGCCTAGAGGCATACTCACGTGAATACTTAGCAGCACAGGTCAATTTTGATTGTGGGCTAAAGGTTTTTATTAGCCTTTGGAGGGTTAGAAAGGCTATCTTGAGGTTATCTTGAGATTATTTCTGGGCTTAGCGTCCCCACGGCCCGGTCCTCAACCAGGCATCCTTTCTATTACACCCCCCCCCCCCGCCTTAGGAAGCAGCCCGTAGCAGCTGTCTAACTCCCAGGTACCTATTTACTGTTAGGTAACAGGGGGCATCAGGCTCAAAAAAACATTTTGTCCATTTGTCTTCGCCTCCACCGGGGATCGAACCCGGAACCTCAGGACTACGAATCCGAAGCGCTGTCCACTCAGCTGTCAGGCCCCCCTCCACCACACTTGCCGCCTGGAATATGCATCAGTGCTGAATATTATTCGGAATTACTATTACTACTGGGTTAATAACCTCTAATTAATAATTAGAGGTTATTAACCCTCTACTTACTAAGTTGGTAAGTAGCCAGACGACGGCAATTACAACACAAGGGGCTCAGGCATCAAATTGCCTCTGTGCGCCCGTTACTCCAACAATGATCATTAACTCATCACCTCGCTTTTGGAACACCTCTCAATAAATATGTGCTTGTGTCAACAGGTCAACTGACCAATGGTCAGGTGTGAATTGGTCAGTTGAGGCTGTCCTCTCGGCCTGATGGTTGAGTGGACGCCGCTCGGGATTCGTAGTCCTAAGGTTCCGGGTTCGATCCCAGACGAAGGCGGAAACAAATGGGCAGATTTTCTTTCACCCAGCAGTTAATAGGTACCTGGGAGTTAGATAGCTGCCACGGGGTGCTTCCTGGGGATGTGTAACAAATAGGAGGCCTGCTCGAGGACCGGGCCGCGGGGACGCTAAACCCCGATATCATCTTAAGATAACATCAAGATATGGTCGAGGACCGGGCCGCGGGGACCCTAAACCCTGATATCATCTTAAGATAACATCAAGATATGGTCGAGGACCGGGCCGCGGGGGACACTAAACCCCGACACCATCTCAAAATAACCTCAAGATAACGGTCTTACATTTCATCCGGATAATTTTAACCGACTAAGATTCGCTTACCGCGAAAGGAACGAGAGAAAACGGAGAAGAAATGAGCCGAGGTGAACCCACATGACGTATCGCCTTCTTAAAGTTTCCCACTCTCATTTGCTTTGATGTTATGCGTAAAAGAAAACGGATAAAAATCGCGGAGAGACTAAACTATTCCAGACCCGCAGAGGACGGCCCGGAAAAGAGAGGCGATCCAATTTGCATATTCGGGCAATGTTAATTTACGTTTAAAGGAGAAGCATTGAAATGGAAGATCCGTCCCGGAAACAACCATTGCAGTGTACAATAATTAGGGTTCAAGCAATGGGCGTTCCCGTTAGCTCCTGGGCCCCGCCTTTCTATCTGTCGGTTGTCAAATGTACATCTCTCTCTCTCTCTCTCTCTCACACACATCCAGGTATCTATTTATTGCTAGGTGAACAAGGGCATCAGGGTGAAAGAAACTCTGCCCATTTGTTTCTGGCTCGGATGGGAATCAATCCCGGGCCCATCAAGGCACTCATTCCAACTGGGCACTCATTCCATCAGGGCACTCATTCTATCAGGGCACTCATTCTATCAGGGCACTCATTCCAACAGGGAACTCATTCCATCAGGGCACTCATTCCATCAGGGCACTCATTCCATCAGGGCACTCATTCCATCAGGGCACTCATTCCATCAAGGCACTCATTCCATCAGGGCACTCATTCCAACTGGGCACTCATTCCAACAGGGCACTCATTCTATCAGGGCACTCATTCTATCAGGGCACTCATTCTAACAGGGCACTCATTCTATCAAGGCACTCATTCCATCAGGGCACTCATTCCATCAGGGCACTCATTCTATCAGGGAACTCATTCCAACAGGGCACTCATTCTATCAGGGCACTCATTCTATCAGGGCACTCATTCTATCAAGGCACTCATTCTATCAAGGCACTCATTCCATCAGGGCACTCATTCCAACTGGGCACTCATTCCAACAGGGCACTCATTCTATCAGGGCACTCATTCTATCAGGGCACTCATTCTATCAGGGCACTCATTCTATCAGGGCACTCATTCTATCAAGGCACTCATTCCATCAGGGCACTCATTCCAACAGGGCACTCATTCTATCAGGGCACTCATTCTATCAGGGCACTCATTCTATCAGGGCACTCATTCTATCAGGGCACTCATTCCAACTGGGCACTTACCTTCAAAATTTCACTGTCGAAAATGTCATTCCATATGTTCACTGTTGATATGTCCACCGTTTAAAAGGTTCACCGTTTAAAATTATCACTGTTCAAATGTTATCGTTTAAATATTACCGTTTAAAAGTACACCGTTTAAATGATCACTTTTTATATTCACTAATATGTTCACAACTTAAATGTTCACTTTGTATAAGTTCACTTTATTTATATATGTTCACTGTTTAAAGGTTCACTGTTTAAATGTTCACTGTTTAAAGGTTCACTGTTTAAAGGTTCACTGTTTAAAGGTTCACTGTTTAAAGGTTCACTGTTTAAAGGTTCACTGTTTAAAGGTTCACTGTTTAAAGGTTCACTGTTTAAAGGTTCACTGTTTAAATGTTCACTGTTTAAATGTTCACTGTTTAAATGTTCACTGTTTAAAGGTTCACTGTTTAAAGGTTCACTGTTTAAATGTTCACTGTTTAAATGTTCACTGTTTAAATGTTCACTGTTTAAAGGTTCACTGTTTAAATGTTCACTGTTTAAAGGTTCACTGTTTAAATGTTCACGGTGTAAATGTTCACTGTTTAAAGGTTCACTGTTTATAGGTTCACTGTTTAAAGGTTCACTGTTTAAATGTTCACTGTTTAAAGGTTCACTGTTTAAAGGTTCACTGTTTAAAGGTTCACTGTTTAAAGGTTCACTGTTTAAAGGTTCACTGTTTAAAGGTTCACTGTTTAAAGGTTCACTGTTTAAAGGTTCACTGTTTAAATGTTCACTGTTTAAATGTTCACTGTTTAAATGTTCACTGTTTAAAGGTTCACTGTTTAAAGGTTCACTGTTTAAATGTTCACTGTTTAAATGTTCACTGTTTAAAGGTTCACTGTTTAAATGTTCACTGTTTAAAGGTTCACTGTTTAAATGTTCACGGTGTAAATGTTCACTGTTTAAAGGTTCACTGTTTATAGGTTCACTGTTTAAAGGTTCACTGTTTAAATGTTCACTGTTTAAAGGTTCACTGTTTAAAGGTTCACTGTTTAAAGGTTCACTGTTTAAAGGTTCACTGTTTAAATGTTCACTGTTTAAATGTTCACTGTTTAAATGTTCACTGTTTAAATGTACACTGTTTAACGGTTCACTTTACGTAAGTCCACTACTTAAATGTTCTCTTTGTATAAATTCACTTATAAACTCACTAACCAAACTTACTTGAAAATGTACAATGGCCCACATAATTGCAACAATTACTCTCTTAAACAGGAGGATCTGTTGCATATGCAATCTTGCAAAGATTCACTTAAATAAAATAATTTGTAATCACTCAACACATTGTAGTGTGACTCTCACTCACTCTTTCTACCTACTTTCCACGACAAGAGTCGGCGAAGGAGTGTGTGTGTGTGTGTGTGTGTGTGTCTGGGAAGGGGTTTGAATCGCGTCGTTCTTGGCGCAAGAAACAGCCCTTACCTTAACGAGCGAACTAGTCATACACTTAGTGGGTTTGAAGGCTCCTGACTCGATAACATTGGGGGGTTGGGGTGGTTGAGGGGTTGGGTACCATTAGGGGACGTTCTCATCTGTTTTAATGAACTGATTAGTAAAAAAAAAATATATGTTGTTTTTCTGTGAAATGTTTTAATGATTATTATTATTAGTATATAGATTAAGGGTCGTTTGCATAGTTAGACGTATTGGCGTAATGGCTTGGCGCTTTCTGCTGATTTGTTCCGTTTCCCTTGCATTAGTTAGATGTGGGTTTAGGTGTTTAGGCTCTGGTGGTGTTTGTTTGTTTGTTTCTTCATTACGTGGTTGAAGCACTTTGCAGACTAGCCACTCTGAAACAAGGAGTCACTCAATCCCACTTGTCGAAGCAAAGGTGCCGGTTTTACGCATACAGTATTTACACAAGTTCCGTTGTAAACAACATTCTGTGTTGTATTTCATTCATTCAAGAACTTATTCAAGTCACCTTTGTAGTCAATTTTTTTTTCAGGTGAGTTTTAGTCTGCATGAAGAGTGATTTTCGCCTATATGGAACCTTATCCAGCTTCCATATCGCGAAATTAAGAACCTCGCATTGTATTCACTTTCGTTATCGCTAAATTAGTTATCGTTATCGCATATAATTTTCCCTGTTCGACTTGGCGGACCGAAAGTTCACTTCGCCATAACAAAAAAAAAAAAGATAAAATCAATTAAAACGAGAACTCGAAAACATGTGATACATATGTATGCCTATAATCTACATATGTATGTTCATATTCCACGCATGTATAACCATATTTCATAGATAGATAACTATATTACACACATCTATACATATATTCCACATATGTATACCCCTTATTCCACACATGTTTAGATATATTCCACACATATATATCCATATTGCACACATGCCTATACATATTCCACAAGTGTATACGCATATTCCCATACATGAATAACTCCAACCCATACATTAATACCTCGTACTCTACACATGTATAACCATTCAGCACACATGTATCTCTGTGTCCCACACATGTATCTTCGACGGTGGAAGGATGTCAAACATGTATATATATGTATAACCGCCCCTCCCCTAATTTCTGTCAAAAAATAACTAGAATATAACCATTCGAATTCTCGATTATTTTTTAAAATATTTTTCAGGAATTATATTAACGACCGAGCGAATAATTTTCTCTGGGATGATAGGTTACATTTATTGCTGTACAGGGGGACATATATATCACAAAAGAATGGTAAACCATTCTTACCATTCTAAAGAATGGTTATCTTCTTGAGGTTATCTTGAGATGATTTCGGGGCTTTTAGTGTCCCCGCGGCCCGGTCCTCGACCAGGCCTCCACCCCCAGGAAGCAGCCCGTGACAGCTGACTAACTCCCAGGTACCTATTTACTGCTAGGTAACAGGGGCATTCAGGGTGAAAGAAACTTTGCCCATTTGTTTCTGCCTCGTGCGGGAATCGAACCCGCGCCACAGAATTACGAGTCCTGCGCGCTATCCACCAGGCTACAAGGCTTCAAAGAATGGTGAACCATTCTTTAAGCCTCTACAGCCCTTTGGAAGGATAGGAGGACAGGATAGGGGCTTGGATATAAGGACGGAGGGAAAGGAAAAATGCCCAACTACTTAAACCCCCAAAATCTGGCCATAATTTTGTTATTATAATGACATAAATTTTCATTATGACATTAATTTTCATTTTCATTATTACTATAATGACATAAATATTCGAAAACAAACTTTCGAATAACAATTCAGTTTCAAAAGTTTTTTTTGGGCAGACCAAAATTGTTTAAATTGACTCAGTTACCTGTAATCACTTTAAGACACATTTCCAATTACATTACCATATGTCAGAATTACAAAGGTGAGACCTTTCATACTAATTACAAGGACGCCAGAATCACTGACGACCCAAATTGGCTGAGAGACTTCAGAGATGCAATTAAACTTTTTTCAACAAGTTCGCTTACAACTGCAGGAATAAATTGCTTCTAAAGAAAACCAAATTGTTAAAAAAAAAAGAGTAGTCAGTGTGTGGTTTGGTTTAACCACCTGTAAACACGAGACAATGAAAGGTAAACATAAAAAATTATGTTCTTGAAGATACTATTCCTCGAAAAGAAATATATACCCACATAAGAAGAGCAGTGTACCCCTCAGCGCATGTAATACCCATATAATATGCAACAGTGTATATATACCCATATATATATATATATATATATATATATATATATATATATATATATATATATATATATATATATATATATATATATATATATATATATATATATATATATATACATTGAAAAGCACTGTTGGTTGGAATTTGCTAGGCATCTCAGCCTCTGTGACGAGATGAAATAACTTATGAGAGACTCTTGACGATCGCTGTGTAAAGTTGTTTACATAGAATTCTCCCATTCTCTCTTATTACTGTTATAATGAGGATGTAGTAGTTAGTTTACATTAGAACTGACAGGTATACTGATGTTCTACTGAACCTATTGAACACATTTCATAAGCATTACTCATGGGGAGCTGCGTGATAGGTTGATTTTTAACTGCCTGATAACCGCCCCATCATGCTTATTAACGACTCCATATATATATATATATATATATATATATATATATATAGTACACAAAGATATTTATTATACATATTTCTGCGAGGGGGGTTACAAAAAATATATATACCATTATTCATTTCTACCCTTTCAAATGTATATATATTTCATCCCAATTCAATATATTCCATTAGTTGTATTGAATGTCGCACACATTTAAATTGTTTTAATTAATTGACGAATATCATTTTACTCTCTCCTATCAGAATCAATATATTTACACAATATTTAGTTATTTTATATATGTTGAAGCTATGTTTAAAAGTATTAGATACTGAAATAAACATGATGTTCCCAAGTTTACAGTTGGTAGCTAGAAGCTCAGGGTTAATATATCCCAATTTTGCACCGGTATTGCTGAAGGGAACGTGCCCAACAAGGACGAGTCGGGCTCGACATCAATGAAGCGGGTACCAAGTGCCATATATACATAAACATGTATAAATATTTCATCCAAATTAAAAAATGACGAACGCAAAAAATATTTGATATCGGATGTAGGCAATTACACTTCCATGGTTTTCTCCCTACATTTTCCTTGGAAGACGACGAGTAGATATGAGGTAGATGGGAGTAGAAGAGTAGTAGATGCAAGGATGTTATTTGGAAGTGTAGATACGAGGTCGATAATTAGAAGATGAATGATAGATACGAGGCAGATAATCGGAAGAGAAAGAGTAGATACGAAGTAGATATTTAGAAGACAAAAGTAGATCGGTGATAGATAACTGTAAGAGGAAAGATAGACAGGAGGTCTATCATAGAACAAAAATACAGCAGTATTATTATTTTCACAGTTATTTATATATATATATATATATATATATATATATATATATATATATATATATATATATATATATATATATATATATATATTGCTTTAATTCGTGAAACTTTGTGGCAATCATCTGAAGGAAGTGCCAATCAACTGGAGGAATTGCCAATCAGCTGGAGAAAGTGCCAATCAGCTGGAGAAAGTGCCAATCAACTGGAGAAAGTGCCAATCAGCTGGAGAAAGTGCCAATCAGCTGGAGAATGTGCCAGTCAGCTCGAGGAACTACCAATAAACTGGATGAACTACCAATCAATTGGATGAACTACCAATCAACTGGAGGAACTACCAATCAACTAGCTATAGTAACATACAAATCAGTTAATCGCTATATCAAACCACCTGATATATATATTGCAATCAATTACTTGCACCTTAAGATCTCCTTTAATTAAATCTCTACGAGTTACAACCTGATAAAACCTGCGGTAAAAACGAGATCGTCGGAGGGAGGCGAACGAGAGAGCGATGGCTTCGAACCCTGCCAGACAGGTAACGAACGAGGAGCTTCGCTAACACGGTAGCCATCATCTATATAACGCTGTAAACACCGAAAAAAAAAATGGCTGATCGTGTCGGCATTTCCTTGCGGGGGATAAATTAATGTTCTTGGACGAACCGGAGCCTCCTAGATCGAAGGAACCGTGCACGGGGTTCTTATGGTTCACTATAGGGGTTCACTACCCGCCAAACACACACCGAAACTACGACGTTGGTGCAACGTTCGAACGAGTTTTAACACCTCCTAACCAGTTATAACAACCAATATAGCAAGTTGTAACAACGTTCTAATACGTCATAAACACGTTAAGCCAAGATGTAACAACTTTATTACAAGTTGTAACAAGCGGAAAATAGAGACAGTTTCGGTTTGTGTTTCCAGGGTATACAGTCGGCTCGCTTGTGGTTCACCATAGCCTAGATTGTGGTTCATTCGGCGGTTCAAGAAACCCCAAAACTGGTAGAATTACCAGACTACAGTACTGGTAGGCTGGTAGGGAGGCAGCAGTAAGCAGTCTGAATCACTCAGGAGCTCCTAGACGGATGACCTTCAGCCAAGCCCTCAAGACAGCAAACTAG